CATTATTTAAAACATTAGATAAATTATATAAACTGTAAAACATTAATAATAATTGTGTTAATATTTTTAATAATTGTTTTAATGATTTCTACATGGTCAGACCTTTTTTTCTGCTCTGTTGTCAACATGTACAGTAATGATAAATCCAGACTCTTGACTGTTTAGCGTTAGCAGTTAGCTTCACCAGCCGATCACATGGTCACCTGGTTTCTACAGTTTATATATAAAAAAGAAAAAAAATACTCGAGATTTGAACTCACTTCTCTCATGTGGGAGCCACGTATCTCATCCACTACCTCTAACATGATCACATAACAGGCATGAAATATCTGTTATTTCCTTTTTACAAACACTCCACACAACTTTCTTCTACATATTGATCCCTAAAACAGAAGTTAATTATTCAACGGGATTATTACAGAAATACTCTTTGGCAAGAAATACCAAATCACTAACAGTTATTTTAAAATAAGAAGTAAAATGGAAATTTTCGTGCAGTGGAAGGTCAAAAAAATTTTATTTGAAAAGATTATTTCAGCTGAGACGGTAAGTAAAGTAAAAGTAAAGTTTTATTTATATAGCAGCTTTCACWGACAGAGGGYCACAAAGTGCTTTACAAWGGTGCAAAGTTATACATAAAGATAAAACAATAAAAACATCAGCAAAAACATAAAACATTAGCTAAGAAGCAGAAAACACACTGGAATTGTTAAAAGCTTTCTAAAAAAGGAAAGTTTTAAGTTTGATCTTAAAGCAGCCACAGAATCAAGTGCAGGTATGGAGAGTGGAAGATCACTCCAGAGCCTTGGAGTGACGTCTGGAAGGAGTGATCACCTCTAACCTTAAAGTGAAGGGACCGTTAAAAGGTTCTGACCTGATGACCTCAGCCCTCCACAGGGTAAATACAGACACAACAGGGCTTTAAGGGAGCCTGACCATGGACAGCTTTAAACTTTACTACCAGGATTTGAAACTTAAAACAAAAACCCACAGGGAGCCAAGAGATGAGATGGTCTGCTGCTCTTCTTTGCTGCTCCCTCTCCAGTTTGGAAGACTCTGTGATGTGACACCTCCCCTTAAAAA